TGCCCGGAGCACCTTGACAACAAAGCGAACCGCCTCGACGGCCAAGAACTCTTCCTAATCCGTCAGTCGGTCAGGCGTGTCCAAAGGGTTTCACGAGGGGCGCCGATGACCTTGGAAGACTAGAAGAACGATTTCTCTGTTGGCGCTGCTCTTGGTGCATTTCTAAGAGCGCTGATTCGGAAGAAATCAGGGTAGGCTCAGCCACAATGTCTCGTGCTTCAAAGCGGCATCAAGCCAGGCAGGCCAATCATAACAATATTCATACAGATATTTTGCACCCACATATACTGAACTTCTAGCTTTACCAAACCTGTAATTTATCACCGTAAAATTTTTACAAAAATTTGTAAGTTTATATCGAAGGGTACTTTTACCCACCATTGGACATGATATCTAGCACTGCATTTCGAATGAATGGCCTCAAATCTCCGTGAAGCTTTCTCCCGCCGACGGCACCTGACTGTTTCGGTAAGTGCTGCCGAGCAAGACGCTAGACATCTGGGACAGTACAGTTCGTGGGGCAAAATGCACAAAGTGTGTGAGAGCACTCTTCTCGCAGCCAACTTAGGTAGCTCGCCAAAGTTCCAGCCCTTTGTGATTGACAATGTGAAGACACTGCACTGCTTCAAAAACTGCATCTCCCCGTCTGCTACGCTTTTAAAGGGCCTGTAAACTAGTTCTGACATTCTTTAGACCCCCCCGCCCCCCCTAAGAAGCTCACTAATTCAAACAGCAGATTGGGACAATCACATTTTGCTAGTATTACAGCGATGCTCAGACCCTCTATTTCGAAAAACGATTCTCGTGCTTCTTTCTTAGACCTCCCCAGTCATCCTGGTACAGTCTAATCTCGATAATTTGAACTCGAAGGGGCCCGAAAATTTGTTTGAATTAAAGGAAGTTAGAATTAAAGAAAGCTAAATAGACGGAGGGCCCACCATGCAGTGGTGCATGTGCATTAAGCTAACAAACGAGGGGGAAGTTTCGGAAGACTTGCATTTATTCACAAATCGCAGGACATCCGTTATTAATTGAAGTAATTGACAATTCGCGTCTGCACATGTTTGCCTTGCAGAGAGTCAATAAATTTGGCACGCAGCTTGCAAAGCATTTCTACTTCTGCTTCAGTGTTCTCCTGGCAAGAGATATTGCGTGCGGCAATGTCCACCGCCGACACTCTCAAAAGACGACGACAACGACTGCATCTCCGCTACTACTTTCAGCCGCAGCATTGCCAGCACATGACGAGAAAAGAGGAGCGTCTCCATGCGGAGAAAAGCAGATCTGCATTTGAGAGCGAGCCAACACTCCATGGCAGCTTTCTTTTTTATTTCCTCTCTCTCTTCGCTCGCAGCGTTGAAAGGACAAGAGTCTACGTGGCAGGGATGGAAAAGGGAGAAGCGTGGCACAGGCGTGTTGCAGATCAGCATTTGAGAGAGAGCAAACATTCCGCCGCAGCCTTTTTTTCCTTTCTTCTTTTCTTTCTTCGTGCGTAGTGTTGAGGTGTCGGACGCGCCGCTGCAAAATTGGGCGTGGTGCTGAGAGCATTTTCGGAGCGCGGTATGTTAGAATAAACTGTCGCAACTGCTTGCGCGTTCAGGCGTTTTCGCCCATTGGAATACACATAGCTTTGATGGGACCACAGCGTCAGTTATAATTAACTGGAAGTTCAAATTAAGCGTTTTCAAATGAATGAGATTCTACTCTATATGCAGCGATGAAGCCTTGTTCATGGTCAACATTATGCACCACTAAACTTGTCAATTAGTCCTTTGCACTACGAAACTGCTCCTTGGCCCTGTGGTGATGCAGTTTTGGCCATGCAGGGCACATTTCAGTTCTCCTGTGCTGCCTTCTACCATTTTGTAGAGCCTAAGGCTACTTGGACAATTGGCATTGCCAGAATGAAAGCCTCCGAGATGAAGAGGCGTCTTCCTACTTTACTGCTTGCTGAAGGGTGCATACCTCACCAGTGCCTCGTACTCCTGGCACCGTGCTTCTTTCCAGCACTTCTGTGACATGTGCGTTCAAGGCACAAACTTTGTGCGGTTTTGACTTCACGCCGACGACTTATTAATGACGTCGTGATACGTTGACAAAGTGGGCATAGTCACGACAAAAGGGTACATTTTTTTTCTCTGCCAGAGGAAAGTACGAAGAATGAGCGAGAAACCGAAACCTGCCAAAGTGGGTCGTTCTAAACCCTGTAAATTTCTTATTAAAGCATTAATTTACAAAGTCCTTGAAGGAGTATCATATTGTACAAGTGTGCAGTTATTATCCATTTGAAATTTTGGACCCTCGAGGTTGTTGACTGGCCCATTAATAAGAAGGCATGGATGTTGCGTCGGCTATTTTACAGAATGGCTGGCAAGCGTGAGATTCTGAACTGGGCAAGTCGAGGCGCTGCGCTTGCCTTCTTGTAGATAACTGCTTGGCCCTTCACACCACCTGCGAGCTCAAAACACGTGAGCTCAAGTTTCAGCCTGCCAACACCACAGCGCAGCTGCAGCCGCTCAACCAGGGAGTCATTAAGTGTTTCAACGTGTGTTACAGGAGGCGACTCCTTAAAGAATTTTGGTGAACCTCTGCATGGACATTGAACTCTAAGTCGACCTGCTTAGTGCCATTCAAATGACGATTGGTGCTTGGCAAAACATGAAGGTAGAGACAGTGGCCAACTGTTTCGTGGCGGCTGAAGCCTCCGGCAGGCTTTCGGAGGGCTGAAACCTGCCGAAATAAGAGTGCGTGGACACTCCGTTTCAAGAGTTGTAGTCCCTATTTTTCTAGTGCTCACAGCAATGTTCAGGCTGTTACAAGCCTCGCTGATGAGAAAATTGCACCTGCAGTCGCAGGGACCCAGGCTCGCAGCTCATGTGGTGACAGAGATAGTCCGGATGAGAGGTTAACCACATGCTTGTACTCCACCACTGAAGTGGCGGCAGCATTTGGCTTGACATGGAAGGAACCAGGCTGTCACACAACCACGATAAGACTGAGGCCAGCATCTTTAACTCAATTTAGGAGACAGAGAAGCTGGCCAAGATACTTTTTTACTGTAAATAAAGCATTCTGTTGTGTCGAGTGTACAGAATTGGTTGTCATTCTTTAATGTCCTGATTGGTAGGTGATTGTCTGCCACAGGTAAGGTCTCTCGGCCTGTATCTCTTTATTCAGACTCGCGTTTGCAGCTTAGTAACTGGTGCGTGCTTCCATAGTGCAAGCAAACTGCGCAGGTGAGCGCACTTCGGAAAATGGTGTGCCTGGAAAGCAAAAACAAGTCTTAAACCTATAGTAATCATCATAGGTGTGTGCACGAGAGGGACAGGGGGGGGGGAGTGCAAATCGGCCTCGCAGATGAAAATAATGGGGAGGAGGTGTTGGGACTCGGAGGGGGGGGGGGGGGCGCAATGCAGCCTGATACGCTAACATAGAACAGAGGGTGGGAAGGCGTGGTGACAAACCTTTATCCCCCCTCCCCAAAGGGGTACCATAGTAATCTATGGTACCACATCGGGGAGGGAGGGGGGGGGTGGAATTCACGGAAAGAAGTGAAATGATTTTTGAGAGTCTTTAAAACTGGAAAAATGACCTCACCTGCATTGTCTGTGTCACTCTGCGCCTGCATGAAAACGGGCATAATTGCATACAGTAGAACCATAAATGACATAATAAGCCTTCAGTTTTTCAAAAATTCTAAACCTAAAGCCACCAGATTTACGGGTACTATGAGTGAAACTGGCCAAAGGACGAAACCAAAACTAGCCAGCGCACCACTGTAGTAGAGCATAACAAAAGAAAGTGAGAGGAATCGGTGCTAGAAAAATATTCCATGTATTCCCACAATTGGCAGCACATGTCAGGCAAGAAAAATGATAGAAAAAGGCATGTGTTTTAAGCATAAGGGCAATGACATACATGTACGTCTTTGACTCTCTTGTTCAGAATGGAAAATGTGCAAGTCTTTGACCCTCAAAAGTTTAACTTTCTTGTGATAAAGCGTCTTATACGTTGTTATGGAATATACAATATTTCACGCATTCGTCTGCAGTCCATCTCAATATGAACCTGAAGGTGAATATGAACCAGAGGTAGACGAATGTACTGTTGAAATTATTGTGTTGTTTTGCCCTTCTCCTTGCTTGCTATCTCGCATTTGAACTCTAAAGCCAAATAATAATAATGCTGTATAGTCTGGCATGTGTACATAACAGTGTCAGATATGCCAATGAGATGAGACAAAAGGAAACGTGCAGAACCGTTTCCTGGCCAGGCCTACATCCCTGGTTGCGAAAAGCGGCACAGCAGTGAGGTCAGCTAGAAAAACATTGAAAAGCAGCTCAGTTACAATACGTCATAATCCCAAAAGACTAGTACAAATTTTATGGAAACTTTTTAAATTAAAATAATAATAATTTCATGCTGATATTAGGATCAGTAAACATTAGCAATTGAGGAGGCAAACACTTCAAGCAAAAATTTGATGTAAAGCCAGTGGTGTCTATTATATCGCACCTGAAAGGTAATGAAATTGTCATCGTTGTCATCATCATGACAACGTCCGCTTACACGCGAAGGCCTCTCCAGTGTTCTGCTAATCAACCTAGTCCTGTGTGTACGGCTGCTACATTATAGCTGCATTCTTAATCTCACCTGCCCACCTAAATTGTGCGCGCTTGCCTTCATTTGCAATCTAGTCAGTTACACTTAATGACGAGCAATTATCTTGCCTATAGGCTACATGCTCTGAAATACAGTACCAGACATCCCAAATTGTGAGAGGCAATTGCATGTACAGAAACACTGGTGGGGGGGGGGGGGGGGGGAGCTCCATTTTCGGTCAAAAAGTAATGCTATTTTAAAAATGGTGCACAGATCCGTTCAATTCTCAATACAGAAGAAAACTTATTGCTTGTGTCGACTATTTCTTGGTCGTCATTGCGTGTTACATCGAATGTGTGCATTTCATTCTACTTACTGCTTAATGAACGCCCACGCAGACGAAGCCATGCGTTGCCTGGTGGAGGAAGTGCTGGCTCAGCGAGAGGACTGCCACCTGGTTGGCCACCAAGACCAGTCGCTGAAGCGACTCGGCCCCCGCACGACGCCGTCCGGTCGCAAATCCTGCTGCCACTGATCACCGGAGTGAGACGCTTGACCTAAGGCCAGGCGCTTCAGCCAGGCTGTTCTGCTGGTTTGCAGGAAACGAGATAACAGCGGTGGCCTGTCGGGCTGTTGTCTCTGCAGGTATTCGCGGAAGCGTGAAAACGGGGCAGAGCGGCCAGCTGGGCTAGTTGATAATAGTTCTTGAACATCTTGCAAGCAGTATAAATTACAGCACAGACAAAAGGAGATTGAAAGACACACTGCAGCGTGAAACTCACTCCTATATTTTAAAATTAAATGTTAAGAGAACACATACACTGGCGATATGCCCCCCCCCCCCCTTGCGATTACTTCACATATGACGTTAGAAGGTAACTATTTTGAATTCTAAAAGAACAATGAACAATAAGCATAGAAATGTGAATGTGTCATATGTAAAGCGGTAAAACAATTTATTGTGCTTTCATTACATGTTGAAGATCCCCATGCAGTCAAAATTGATCTAAAGTTGAGCGCTGTGATGTGTGTCCTTCAATTTCATCTTATCTGAGCTGTAATTAGAACTGTTACCAAGATGTTCAAGAAACGGATTGTTGCGAGGTTGCGGGTTCAAATTCTGGCCACCATGGCTGCGTTATGTTATGGCTCGTGTGTCGTGCATTCATGTCATGTTGAAGAAGAGACCCGGGTGGTTGAAGTTGATCTAAAGCTCTCCGCAACATCGGTCCCCTCGCAACCCACCGTGTTTTTTTCGGCACGTTGAAGCCTACATTTTAACTTTGTTCTCTACACGTGTTCAGAACAAAAGTATTAGACAAGCAGTAGTCCACTGACTTGCATGGGATGCAGCCGCTCGTTTTGCTGCTTGGAGTAGAGCGAGGTTTCGTTCCATTCATTCAAAGAGTTTCTTGTTTTTATATCCACTTGGTGGCTTGACAGCGGCACAAGGCCAGCAGTAAAAGAGCTCACTTGAAGCAATAGCTGTCGCGTCTTTTCGTAACCTAAAGTTTTGCATTCGAAGCCCAACTTCTCATTTGTGTTCTAAGGCTTCTTTCAAAAACTTGGCAGATATTGCACAAAAAAATTGTTTACACAACATTTAAAACCCCTTACTGTGTTGCTGAAGTCACTGCGTAGGTGATATCTCCTTGCTCGGCTTGTTTTCAAGGGCACACAGATGACTGCAGCTGTTTTAATCCGTTTGTTTGCTGTCTAAATGTTAATGACATCCAGAAGGCCTATATTTTTATATAGATTACCTTTGTCCTCCAGCGTGGTACACACTGTCACTCCTAATTTAAGGGCTTTCATCAGTGTGGCTACTCTTGACGTATGCATTGCGCTGCTGGCTACTCCATGTCACTTGAATGAAAGAGCTGATCGCACATCATCAATAGTCATAAGTTACCGTTCAGTATTGTACTCGAACAGCATGGTCTAACGGAGGCAGCTTTCTGAGCAAGCGAATCCAGTAATAGCTATGCCATTCCTGGAATCTGCCTTAGCCTGTGGAGCCTCCTTTCTTAGCTGTCTTTGATGGCTCATTCTGAAGGGAGCAGTTGTATCTGGTGGCTAGCTGGCATCGTAGCAGCATAAACACTGCGATTATGCCGTCTGCACATGACCATCTTGCGGGTCATTCCTTGTGTTGCGAAGTCGCGCTTAAGCTTATTTTGTGGAGACAGAGAGCGTGAGCGTTCCACTTCGTATGCAGCGGCTGTTTACCGCGAGTGAGCTGCAGGGAATGTAATCTAAGGAATGCCGTTCGTGGAAGCGGTCGTTCCAATGTGGGTGGAAGGCTCATTTAAATGTTCTTCTACATGTAAGCACCCCATGTGGTCGACAGATTAGCCTTTTTATTACATTTTTTTGTAACAAAAGTTCAAAGAACTGTCATCAGGTGTCTATCACCGATGTTGCAGTGTGATTCTCCATGCTGCCCCGTTCTGTCAAATCCGCCATAGCTTCTGTATATGTTGACCGTACCGCTGTCCTCGGTGGAGGATTCATGCACAATTCGTGAGAAGAACCACACCCCAAAAATGAAATGAGAGAAAAAAAAATAACAGAAGAAGAATCTTTTTGTGCACTGCTCCAAATGCTTCGTATCCATGACGAGAGGTAGGGAACAAAAATTTTGTGCATGGCGTGTCACTTCATTTCTTGAGCGAGCACAGTTTCCTTACACTTTTGCTCAGGTTAAATTTGTTTCAATTGCATGTTGTACTTCATATTTCTTACCCTAAAGTAGAGAAAACATTACACAGTTTGATAACACTGGCTCAGGGACTACCATTACAAAGCGTTCGATGTTTCTCATTTTGTCTCTATCCGTTGTTGTGGAGCAGGGGTTATGGTGCTCAGTTGCTGATACAGAGGTCACGAATCCAATCTAGGCCGCGGGGGGCGCGTTTCGATCAAGGAACAGCAGATGGTGCTAACTTCCAGAGCCCTTCACTGCAGGGTCTCTCATAATCATATCGTGATTTGGGGATGCAAATTCCCACATATTGTTATTATTATACTGAGTCTCGCATTGGGAGTTTCCCCTCTTCATAACTGCCTATGCAGTTCCCGTTTCCTCTCTGACCCCTTGCGTCTCTTGGAAGCTGCGGAGCCTAGCTCATCTATGTCAGAAACTGAAACTGATAAGAGTTTTGTCCTGTGCGGAAAATACGTTTGTCCTGCAGAAATTGTTTTCTTTCCAAGTTCCTGATTGCCACTTTCTTTTTTCTGTTAGTGTCTGATGAGAATTTAATTATAGCCCAATACAAGACAAAGCTTTTTTTTTTTAATTGTGGGCTAAGTTTGATAAACCCTCACATTTTTGTCATTATCTAGGCTGCATTCGAGCACTTTGTATGTTTTTTTTTCTTTAAATTGAGCTTACAGTGGTCTTTTTCGTGTAGTGAACTAGCAGTATGCACTGCAGCGTTTGCTTATTCACAACATACGCCTATGGACCATGTATTTTTTGTATATTTGTAATGTGCACTTTTTTAAGTATTTATAGTCGCGTCAGGAACAGGACTTTGGCTCGGTACAGTGTCAATATTTTGCTGCTCGTATAGTTCACTAACGTATTGGTTCAGCCGTAATGTTTTCGGCTCGAATTTTTATTGAGAACTCTCGCTCTGCGATTGTTCAGCCACCATGGGGAATTACGGGTAGAACGTGGATTTTTCTAGTCTTGTGGCTTCGTACGTTCTTCTTGTGACTTTGTTCGCTGTAGCCCTAATTCGAGAACACTCATGTAAGATTTTCAAACGCGAAAAGCAATAAGAATTTGTGCATAATCACTGCAAATTGGGCTATTGTAACACGTTTTCTTAAAAACGATAGCCAGTCTGTCATTTCACCAAGTCACTTGGAGCCATAAGGAAGAAGTAGAGGCAAGCAAATCCAGGTGTGGTACTACTAGAGTCGTCAGTTCAATGCTGCCTTAACTGCAATGCTAACTGCTTCTGTTAGCAGCAGGGCCCAAGTTCCCTTTACTGATTTTTTGTCAGAAATTTTATTGTTGTAACCAATAGGTACAGGGTAAAAAACAACATTTCCATGACTTTTGTGTTGAAATTTACTAGGTTCATTTACCATTGGATACATAGTTAAGAACCATTCAAAAACAGGAGACACAAAACGATGAAAACACGGTGAAAACGCCGTCGGGTACATTCAGAAGAATAGTCGTGCTGCAACAGTCATGCTTCGTTTGGCCACGTTCTGCTGACGAACGCGAAGCTGTGGAAACCACATTTCCTCTGTTTTAAAGTCTGGCAGCTGTTGCATGCTACTCAGGTTAAAGTGCATGGAATAATCCTGGAGCAACTATCGTGACTCTTGAAAAGTGGTTATGCTTTCGGAGTTCCAAAGTTGGGGCAATTTATTTTCGTTCCATTTTTAAAACTTGTGTGGTTTTCATCGTCTCTCACAAGATGTTGTACGTCATCCATAATGGCTACTTTTGGGTCTGTACCATTTTTTGGGGCTGTTGTTCTGCCACTGTCTGTAACAGACACTCCTGAAAACCTCAAATCAGGTTCCGATGAAAGCCGCAGTTCCAGAATATAGCCATGTAGCGAACCACATTCCACGCATTTTTCCGTAATTACATTCCACACATTCATTGCAAACAATGTGCATTTCAGGAGATTCCACATGTCCAAGGCACATTTGGTTTGTGCCTTTTGTATTCACTGTAAAGTGTACTTATTGACGTTCGAAGTTTGTGGATATCACCTGAGCACTTCATGCGTTTGTGCCCTCAGTGGATCTGTACAGTTGACACATTGAATTTTTCTCTTCACAGCAGTGTCATTACAGTTTCTGTTCACATCAGTGGCTTTCTACAAGCAGTGTTGATGAAAAGGTGGTAGTGTCACTATTGTGTCATCATCAGCATAAACTTTAGTGAACATGGTGAACCGTGTGGTAAATGTGGTGAACATAGCGGTAAAGAAGCTTCGTGATTGTGTCAGTGGTACTGATCGATATTGCTTCCCTAGGAATCAATATCAATGTTTTGAATGCACATGACTACTATATTTACTCGAAAAATGAACGCACTTTTTTTTTTATTTGGAGCAAAGTTGGGGGTGCGTTTATTATGCGAGGCAAATTTTATGAAAACTTTTTCGGGAGGAGCAAAAAATGCGGTAATGCAAAGAAAAAAAAAAAAAGAGTTAGGTCGCTTAGCCTTTTGCGATTGACATACGCGTACACTAGCAGTTTGGAAACAGCTTCTTTGATGCACTTCACTCATCTTCGGTGGTTGAAGGCGCCACCTTGTGCAAGCTGTCCCTGCGACGCCGGCGCACCCCTTAAAAGAGTTTTGTGGCTTTCTTTTCTCACAATCGTTTAACTGCAACAGTGGTATCTGCTATGATCTTGAGGGGCGCCCAGGAGCGTGCGCTACGACGAACTTTGCCACCTTCGCGGCAACCTTTCACGAGGACCGCGACGACGCTGTTGACATTGCACCAAGCTACTGCTGAAGCATCAATACAAACCATTGGTAACAACGTTAACGACAAAATACGGCTGCTGTTTCACTGTTCACATGAGAAGTGACTGTAGAAAAGGTAGCCTATATCCTGCATTGCTTGGATTATTGTGCGCGGATAACAAGCATGAAGAGCAAATTGCAAGCGAAGCGAGAATCGGGGGTGCTACCATCTTCGGAAACTCGTCACGCTCTTTTCTGGGGGACAAGCAATTTTTTATGGTTTTCTGGAAACCTTTGATGCAATGACGACGAATGGCCTTTCACGACAGCTATGGCAACAGCGAACCCTTGTCGTCATCGCTCGAAAATCACGGGCATGTGGGTGGGCCTTAAAATTTCGTATTTGCGGGAAGCAACTGTCGCGGGCAGTTTTGTGACCTTCGTTCACTGTGCGCTTATCAACTGCGACGTCTTTACACTCGCACTGTTTGTGAACCCCGCTGTGGCGCACAAATAATGAAAAAAAAAATAGACAAGGGACGTGCCGCGCGCTGGTGGAAAGAAGAACAATACGCTTTGCAGCAGCATGCGAAGGGGGGGAGGGAGTGAGCCGAGGGGGCTGAGGAAGTCGGCATAATAATGAAAAACAAAAGAGATCCAACAAGCAAGAAGACGCCAGGTGTCAGTTAGCAGGACTGCAGCGAATGAACGTAGGAAGCGCGTTTGTTATGTGGGAGGAAAAAAAAGAACCAAATTTCCCGACTGAAGCTGAGGGTGGGTTCATTACTCGAGTGCGTTCATTACACGAGTGAATACGGTATGTTTCTCGGGAATTGCTTTTCTTTTGTTAATTGCGGTCTTGAGTGGGATGTACAGTAAGCACTGGGAAGTTTAAGAAGTTGTTTGTTCTTGATTATTGTGAATCTGTTCGATTCTAGTGTTTGATGAGAGTGGCCTCACCACCTCTCAGTTTTCGTGAAGAGCGTGGTGGTCGCTAAGTATGAGCTGGCGTACAGCGCTGTTGGCAGCTCAAACATAGGGAACCTTTATGCACAGTTTTAGGTTGGCGACATCTATAACAGACCTGATACTGTTTACTACTGCCTGTTGTAGGCTGCCATTTCAATGCTCTGTCTTGCTAGAACAAGTGTTGCATTGCTCCTGTTTTCATTATGTGATGGGAACTGCCAGTGATAGCACATTGTTGGTCAAACCTTCATAACTTTAGTTTATTACGGGGCCTCCAGAAAACCATGTGCATGCCTTCGTGGATGTACTGCTGCATTCACTCGGAAAAGATCACAGTCATTTCGTTTCATTCAAATATCGTTCTGCCTCATAATGGTGCGTGTAAGCATTTTAGCATCGTCTCGCATGAGAGATGTATTTTGACGTATTGAGTTAAAAGTAATATCCTTGTTAGTATGTCCAATATGCTATCAGCAAAAAAAAAAAAAAACTTGCGTGTGGAGCTCACATGTACAGTGGAATTTCGGTTATTCAAAATTGCACCGCAAATGGAATCGCTGCTTGTCTGGTACGACACGGTCACTTAACCTTCATCATCATCATCATCAGCCTGACTACGTCTACTGCAGGACAAAGGCCTCTCCCATGTTCCGCCAGTTAACCCGGTCCTGTGCTTGCTGCTGCCAATTTATACCCGCAAACTTCTCAATCTCATCTGCCCACCTAACCTTCTGTCTCCCCCTAACCCGCTTGCCTTCCCTGGGAATCCAGTTAGTTACCCTTAACGACCAGCGGTTATCCTGTCTACGCGCTACATGCCCGGCCCATGTCCATTTCTTCTTCTTGATTTCAGCTATGATATCCTTAACCCCCGTTTGTTCCCTAATCCACTCTGCTCTCTTCTTGTCTCCACCTACCATTTTTCTTTCCACTGCTCGCTGCGTCGTCCTCAATTTAAGTTGGACCCTCTTTGTAAGTCTCCAGGTTTCTGTTCCGTAGCTAAGTACCGGCAAGATACAGCTGTTATATACATTCCTCTTGAGGGATAATGCCAATCTACCTGTCATAATTTGAGAGTGCTTGCCAAATGTGCTCCACCCCATTCTTATTCTTCTAGTTACTTCAATCTCGTGGTTCGGCTCCGCGGTTATTACCTGCCCTAAGTAGACATAGTCTTTTACAACTTGAAGTGCACTATTACCTATCTCGAAGCGCTGCTCTTTTCCGAGGTTGTTGTACATTACTTTCGTTTTCTGCACATTCATTTTAAGACCCACCTTTCTGCTCTCCTTGTCTAACTCCGTAATCATGAGTTGC